AAAAAAAAAACAACACAAAATAATTAACGACCGACGATGGTTTATTTCATCAAATTAATTTATTCGGCCAATTATTATTGTTTTATACATTCTTCCTTTCGCTATTATTAATTTATTATTCTTATTTTTTTTTTCTATTTTTTTTTTTTTTCATTAAATTGTCTATGCAATTTTTAACTATTTAAAACAAAAACAATTTTTTCTTTTTCGTTATTTTTATTATAATCAGATGTCATATCGAACTGATTAATCATTGTAAAATTTAGTAGTAATTAATATCATGTTTTATATACATTTCAAGTGTCCATTCAGTCTTATATAAAACGATAAATTAGATACCTATTAGATACACACACACATACATGCATACATACATAAATAAATAAATAATATATACATTTATTATTAGATTTTGATACAAAATGTAAAGGTTCCAAAGAATGTTTAAATATCCTTCAAAATAGTTTTCAAGATAATTATTTCTATTTTATATTTTTATTTTTATTTTTATTTTTATTTTTTTGGTTACATTGAAAAGGAACTCTTTGCGGTCGTGTTTTAAAATAAAAAAAAAAAAAAATGAGTTTAGTTAAATAAAATATTAGAGTGCCATCGATGAGGGAAGAACAGCAGAATTTACAACATTAGGATTGAACTTGTTGAGTGTCACGTCAGTCATTAATGACTGACACCAAACTTTCCGTTCAAGTCATGTCAAGCATCGGTGTCTGACGTTCAACCTTTCATTTTGCCACATGTGGCTTGACGAAGATTTCCATAAGAATTTGCGTAATGTTCAACGTGTTGAACAAGTAAATGAAAGTTTAAATTAAAAAAAAAAAAAAAAAGATCTCGTTTTTTTATTCATTGATTTTGTTTAATGCAATGCAATGCAAGTTTGAACGGACCGATGTGAATCGAATAATCAAATTCGATTTTCAGCCGATTGCTTTCTTCCCTGATACGAGAAACAGGAGGTAGCTATTTTTAACAATAATAATAATAATGATAATGATAATAATAATAAATAAATAAATAAAAAGAATAAAAAAGATAAGATAAGGATCGTTCTTACGACATAAGATTTTGAATAAACCGATAATTATCGAATATCGCGTTGTTCAATGGCGGTAATAGAAAAACAAAAAAACAAAAAACTCATACGACAAATTGTAATCACACATTTCTCCTTCTCATTCTTAAAAAGAGAGTTTCGCGTGCCCGATTATTAATGAAATAATAAAAATAAATAAAATCAATCGTAAATACGACGCGAATCTTGTCTCTAAGTAAATATTCTTTATTTATGATATTATTTATCTCTAATGCGTGCATCGATGACAACAACAACAACAACAATAATATTAACAATAAAATTAATATTAATAATAATAATAGTAATAATAATAAAATAATAATAATAAAATAATAATAATAATAGATTTGATGAATCAGTAATAATTTATTGTCTACGTTTATAATTTTTACAAAAATCTGAGTAGCGGGAAATCCCCATACAATGAATTAAAATGAATAAAGGTTCGATTCAATAATAATAATAATAATAATAATAATAATAATAATAATAATAATAATAATAAAAAGATTAATATTAAAGGAAACAAAATTAATTAAAAACAAAACAGTATTAGGAACTTATTCACAAAGTATCAAGAATCGGTCTTTTTTTCCAAATCGGTTGAATTAATTTACCGTATTGTTATGTTCATTTTTATCTTTCAAGTAAATGAATAATACTAGTCTCCCCGCGTAATGTGAAAAACAAAATGGACGGTTGTACAGCATACAATAATAATTGATTGTAGCTTTGTGCGATTGGTTAAGTATTTAAGATTGAAAATGAAGGATGATATTATAACAAGTGAACCTGACCGAATTATCATGATCGATCGAGAATAATAATAATCTTGCTTGTTATAATAAACGTCATGTGTTACTAATGATGCGTGTGTGTTAACAAGTCAATGATCGGCCTACTAATAAAACAAAGAGATAACTTGAAATAATCATCACTTATCGCTAGCTCGCTTATTTCCCGTTTTACGATTTGAGAGTAGCTTGGCTATTCTCGTTGGATCCTCTCTCATTTCTATCATGTCACCTTTTATCCTATTCTCATACATACATACTGTAAGAGATCATGAATCAAGAATAAAGACTACCAGTTGGAATGCAGGAATATCAACGATGGATAAGTATCATCATCATTGTCATCATTACTTTCATCGTTAACATCATCAACGTCGTCGTCGTCGTCGTCATCATCATCATCGTCGTCTACTTCATCGTCGTCGTCTTCTCATCGTCGTCTTCTCATCGTCGTTTTCGTCATCATCGTTGTTCATTGATGTGTAACAATATCCACGGTGTATTCCATGGATTATGATACACGCGCTGCCTGTTAACACCACCCTGGTTCCCCCCGGATTTGTTGTTTGATTTTTTGTGCATGACTTCTCTTGGAAAACCGATACGGTAA